GGGGCGGGACGGACGGGACGGACGGACGGACGGACGGCCCAGGCTGCGGCCCCTCCTGCTGCTCCCGGGGATGGGGGGGAGCGGGCGCTGGGGTGCGGGGAAAGGCACGGAGCGCACGGAAGGCCTGCCAGGATGCTCGGAAAACAGCCCTGGTAGCAGGAGCTGCCTGCCTGCTCAGCTGCTGGGGGGTTTCGCCATCGGTGCGGCCCCACCAGCAGCGGAAGGGGCAGAGGAAGGGGGTGCAGTGGGAGCGGTGCTCAGGGGAGCGGGTGGGTCAGCTCGGGAGGTGATGGCTCCCGCTCCAGCTGCATCACCTCAGGGAGCGCCGTCCTGGCTGGAAAGTCTTCACAGGGCAACAGGCAGCCCAGAGTTCCTCGGTTACTGTCTTAGGGCTCCGTCCTTTTCCCTGTTCGTTGGAGGAGCTGATGTCTGGCAAAGTGCCTTTCCTCTGTTAACACTGGGGTGGGAGGAGAGCCCATGTTTCTGGACAGTCAGGTTGCAGCTGCATTAGCACCTCAGTTTGGATCAGGAGAACATGAACAACTTAGGTGAAAGGACCTGCAAAAACAAGTGACGAACAGGCTCTGAGGACTGATGAGAATTCAGCTCCACTCTGGGCTACAGTTAGTCTGAAGTGAGCCCCCAGACATCTACAGTGTGGCCATTGAGTCCTCAGCATCAGCTGCTTGCTTCTGCAGATGTGCTGCTGCATCAGCCTGCCTGCTGAAGAGGACCCGACCCTGCAGGTCCAGGGTCTGCTTCACCACCCCCTCTGGCAGCGTGGATGTCATACATCATATGTATGGGCATATGTATGGGCTGAGGTGGTCCCCAGTGCACACCCAGGAGTTTCCTCTGAGGTTTGTGTGATCAGCAGGAGAGACTCCTGAGTAAGAAAGCTGATTCTCAGGCACAGGGGCAGCAGTGAAGGCAGTTCCAGAGCTTGAAAAGAGATATTCTCTGAGACAAGACATGTTTGCGTTTCAGTGGCTGTTGTCACTGGGGCCTGTTCTGGCAACAGCAAGTAGAATCAGGAACCACTAGAAGAGGTCTGGCTTCACACCAGACAGGTGTTTTTGAAGAAGGCAGGTGGCCAGGCTGCTGCTGTGCTCTGGCTGTCCTTTGGCTTGGAGGAACTGCCACAGTGGAGCACCCCAAGGTGGTTGGTTCATCTCAGTGGTCAGTCCAGCAATGGCAAGAGCCAGAGGCATGTGAAGGGACAATTATGCCCCCCTCAGTAATCTTTTTTCAACACCTATCATTTGCAAGAGGTTTGTGCCTCGAAGTGAGAAGGTCTGCGTCGACATGTGTAAACGTTGTGCAGCTCCAGTTTTGTCATTTGGTGAACTACTTAATGTGATAACTTCCACATTACCATCCTCTTCTGATTTACAAGTCGAGTCTTCTTAGTGTGAGTTGTTAGCCTGCCTGCGTGGGTGAATAAATCCTCTTCTTATCTCAGGGAAGCTGCAAACCCAGCTTCCAGTACTTTCCGTGCTGCCTGCCTGCCTCAGCTCTGCTCAGGTAGGGACATCCTGCAGCCCAGCATCTCTTCATGGCTTGGGCTCCACCTGACAGATTGTTGAGCCTAGTTGAACGAGGACAGGTCTCGAGGAGGATTCTTGTGTTTGCAAATGGGGCTAGTTTGAATGGAAGCACGACACTGAAGATTTACTGTGAAGTGAAATGAACTCAGTGGGAAGAAGATCATTTACCCTTGGGCTGTCTGACTCCCAAGCAGATGCTCGTCCATCTTATCTGAGCGGATTTTAAAGGCTCTCCTTACTTCCTAGTATTTCCAGACACCCAGTTTCACTGGTTTTGATAAGTGACAGGTCACAACTGCTCACGTGCTGGGTGTGAAAGGAGCACCAGTGCTCAGATCTGGAAATCCTGAAACCCCAGGGTGCAGGGTTTCCTGTGTATCTAGGAAATCCAGGCTAGAAATGAGACACCCCTTCCCTCCCCAGCTCATCTCCAAGAAGGACTCACTGAGCTGGGATGGACTCCAACCACTGATCTGCCCCCTGAAGTCTCAGTAGTGCACTAGAATATCCTAAGGCAGGTGGGCCCAAAGCAGCACAACTGTTGCAGGGTAAGAAATGTTTTCTGGAAAAGTTTGTGGTGTAAAAATGAGTTATTTCTGGACAGCAGCTCTGCAGGTCCAGGGAAATGCTCTTTCCAGAGGTGCTCTGGATTCTTAAAGGAGCAGAACTTACTAACCAAGAATACTAGAACCAAAAGCATTAACAGAATGGCCAAATGACTCTGTGGGGCTTTGATGGCTCCCAGCTCTTACTCAGGCCTTTGATAAGGACCATGGGAGGTTTCACACATACTTCTCACAGATCAGGGATGCAATTAAATCCATCTTCAGAGCCCCAATATGGCTTAGGCAGCCTCTCGTGAGGCTGTGTTGCTGTGATTGCAAGCAGTTTT